TTCGTTCTGGCCACTGCCAATCCCTAGCCACAAACAGCTGTGAGCTGATGCTCCCTTATTTTCTTGGGTGAGGTTTACCAACAAATTGGCAGTGGCGTCGCATCCTAGTTCAGTACCTCCACTAGTTCAGTACCTCCGCTAGTTCAGTACCTCCGAGCCTAGCCCTTGCTGCAAGTCACCATCCGCCTCTGGAAAAAATTAGGGAGGTGTGGTCAAGCTGATTTTGATTTGCTCGGATTACTGAAGCATGTGAAGAGGGATAACTTGCACTCCAAAGAATCATTACACGACGAGAATGCAGCGTCTGGAGTCCTTACTGAACGCGACCAGGTTGCTCCAAAAAAAGGAACTGTCGGCCGCACTGCTCAGAATGGGACCCTGCCCAAGTGGATGTTGAAGAAGATCCTTTGGCACCGCTCCGCGCATTGAAACGACCTAGATCAGACGAGGCAACTCCGTAAGCGGGAAGTGGGCACATGGTAAGTGGTTGTCCGGAATTTTTGACTCGTGACTCGCTGGTTCCCATGAACCATCGCTCTGCGTTGGCCTTGGACACCAAGTCTGCGGATGGAGTGGCGAGGAGGATAGAGAGGAAGTGGCAGATGATAATCGGCTGGACGACGAGACCACGGATTCAGACGGGATCGGCTGTGGTGTGCGACACAGATAGCCTGACCCAGCCGATGTCAGAGTACCCCCGGGCGGTGTCATAAGAGCCTCCCCCTCTACCGATTCGCCGTCTGACACAGACTGAGTCGAGGTCATAATAGCGTAATTGTCAGAGAATGGCGGACTGCTCAACCAGCTCCCCGACGAGTGTGTGCAAACGGAAGAATCCGTGCAAAAGGATTCAGACGATTGCCCCGGACTGTTCGGTGTATGCAGCATGGACCGCATTTGATCATCCTCGTCTGTATCCTGGTCATCAGCCTTGTCTTGCTCCTCAGCCTGGTCCTCTGTCGGGTGACTGATCCTCAGTTTGGTTGATAGAGAGCGTACGGTAAAGGGCGAGTTGTTGGCTGCCTGACGGGAAATGATCTTCGCGGCGTCGAGGGAGAACGTGCGGGTCCTGTCAAGAACGCGTTTTTGGGCGTTGTGAAATGACATACAGATACAAAGAAGTCGATCAGTCCGGTCGTCGGACAAACGAGCGGGGCCAGCATCCCGAGCGGAGTCAGCACCTCGGGCGTTCAGGACGCGAGTTAGCTTTTCCAGTCCGACCGGCCCACGACCACGGCCCTTACGACCACGGCCCTTACGACCGTCCGGATCCGCGCGGACTGGAACCGAGGGGAGCAGGATGTCCCTGGCATCCACGAAATGAGTATCCAGCCTGTTGAGATAGTCGTAAAGGAACTCCAAATTGAAAATGAAGTAGCCTGCCGGCTCCGCGCTCTGAGTTCCGCACAGCCACGGCGGTAGTGGAATGTAAACCATCAGGTTATCCTGGACCAGGTCGTCTTGGACCAGGTCATCCTGGACCGGGTCCAGGGACCTAACGAAGTCCGACGGCAGGTTGTATCTTGTGGGGAACCAGGCTTGCTCGCAGGAGCCAGGAAAGACGCTCCGTGCCACGGCCGTGGCCAGGTCGGGGAAAGCCGACGTTAGGATCTCTATGCTAATCCTGGTGAGGAGGTATCTCCAGAGTGCTTGTTTGTTGTTGGAACCCGCGTTCATATGTCGTAGGGCGTGCGGAGTCGACGACGGCACACTCCCCCTCGCCTCACGACCCACCTCACGGCCAACATCACGGCGACTGTGTAGAGAAAATGTGGGCGGCGATCGATCGGCGATGAGCTCCAGTCTGGTCCAGTTCCGCAATCGGGCGTGAGCCCAGGCAGGAGACGCCGGCTGCTGCGGCAGTGCGGAGAGTGGAACGGTGATAGACAAGTCCTCTGCAGACATGAACTCAAACCACTCTACGGGACACGACGCAACCAACTCGTAAGTTGCCAGGAACAATTGCTGCCCGAACATGTTCAACTCCCCCGCGTTGCCGACTGGCTCTTGTTCTCCGTCGCCGCGAGGCTCCCTTCCCTCACCAGGCCCTAGTCCTAACCTTGGTCCTGGTCCTAGCCTTAGTCTTCGTTCCGGTCTTCGTCCCGGTCCTGGTGCCGGTCCTAGTCCCGGTCTGGGTTCCGACCCTGGTCTGTCCAAGTCGTCCAAAGCAACCACGTCCGCTACCGGAGCACTGGCGGCCAACACGCGGACTTGGTCGACGGCCGCAGGCAGAACCGCACTTAGATCGCAGACACCCGCACTGGCCGGCTGCAAGGACAGGCCGCCTGGAGCGACCCAGGCCGCGACACCGGGTGCCGTCTCCTGCAGCGCCTGTGTACGGAGCGCCTCGCCTGCCCCCAACCCGAAATCTATTG